TGCAGATAATTCACCTCCATGGTTTCCAACTCTCATGGAAGCCTTTCCCATCTTCCATCACAGCATTTATCTGTCTGGGACTAACACAACCACTGCAAACCTCACCGTGAGCTGATGTATTTACAGTTGATTAAGTCTGGCAAAACCCCAAAAAATTTTAACTCAGGGATTTTGAACTTATTAAACTTCTGTGGGTTTTAAAGAGATTCTTTGGGTTGGTCATGGCTCAGAGGAGTGAGGACTCTTGTTCCCTGTACCTAAAATGCATCCCCTTGTCCAGCAGCCTTGGATAAGCATCTGTGAGGGGCTGAGGCACTGGAAGAGAATTCCAGAGAAGCTGCCCCTGGATTCCTGGAAGTGTTCAAGGCCAGGCTGGACAGGGCTTGGAGCAACCTGGGACAGTGGAAGATGTCCCTAGGCATGGCAGGGATGGGCTGAGATGGGATTTAAGGTCCCATCCCATCCCATCCCATCCCATCCCATCCCATCCCATCCCATCCCATCCCATCCCATCCCATCCCATCCCAATCTCTCTATGATAAAACCAATCCGAACAAAAAATTCGGAGGTTTCTCCTGCTGCTTCCACACCTTCCAGGGGGCACAGTGGGGTCTCCTCTCTCTGGGATTTCAGAGCTGCTTTTGTGCTGGAGCAGCTCCACCAGGGCTGTTTGCTGGGGTGGGACATTCACCAGCTCACTTTGAAGTGTCACCTGCTGCTTTTCTTTTTGTTATTTGTAGTGGAGGAAACTCCCTGGTGTCCCCAGGGGTGGAAATGCTCTAAACCCATCACCTGAAGGCCCCAAAATGTTTCTCCTTTCCACTTGAAGCACCTGCAGAGTGGCTGAGCATGGCCTGGGGTGTGGTGGCTCCTGGGAGGCTCCTCTGGGTTGCTCCAAAGTCACCAGCATTGTCCCAGCAGGCCTGTGTTCCTCTCAGGAGGGTCCCACCCTTCCCTCACCGTATTTTTGGGGCTGTTTTCCCCATTTTTGTGTCCTTAGGGCTGGCTGTAGTAAGAGCGAGGCAGGGTTTCCTTGGAGGAGGGGTGGCAGCAGGGTTGGATACACGGAATTATTTCAAGGATCAGGGCTGTGACAGCCATACAGATGTTCTCAGCTGTCCTCCCTGCTCCCATGGATCCTAAACATGGAAGTCCCTGAAGTGATTCCCTGCCACTGGAGCAGGTCCTGTCACAGAATCCACAGAATCCACAGAATCCACAGAATTCACAGAATCACTGGGCTGGAAGAGACCTTCAAGACCATCAAGTCCAACCCAGCCCCAGTGATAGTAAAAGGGTTTTTAAATCATGGGGATTTAGGGTTAAAAGGAAAACTAAGCTTAGTAGGCCCTGGAAAAATAAACACCCTAAGCACATGAAGAACTTGTACTTGCTAGAACTGCACCTGTGCAGCTAGTACATGATAAATTATATAATTGTTAGATGTGATGATTGTTTAGTTATTAAATATAATTACTGCTTAATCGTAAGAATAATCATGAGAGACTGTGGTCAGGGACCTAAGAAAGATCATGAGAAACTCATGGTAATGTATACAATAGAACAATATAAGTTTAATAATTAATATGTAAGTTATATAATGATAGAATATAAAATACTTTCAGCTTGAAAGCCGTGTCAGAGTCAGATTTGGGTTTGTTCCCCGACTCCCAGAGCTCTTAACAAAAGCACCTGCATGGAATCATATCCTGTGATTATTTGTGTTCTGGAATGTTGGAACTCAAAATGTCCCTCAGACATTTTTGGAGGTTCCAGGCCCTGGTCAGAAGCATTTGAGACCCTGGCAGGCAGCTGGAAACAGCTGGGATTTTGGGTTTGAACCATGGGATGAGTTACCAACTTTGCAGGTGGAACAAGCAGTCACAAAGGGTTAGATAGGATAGTAGAAGTAGTTACAAAACAGAGGGGAAATTTTTTAGTATTGTACAGGGGGGTTTTAGCACCTGTACAGGGGGGGTTTTACTTTGTACATGGGGGTCAGAAGTTCTAAGATGGAGGAAAGTGGGCTGATCCTGTTCTTCCTCCTTCTTCTTCCTTCCCTCCATGTTCTTGGTGATGCTGGCACTCACAGATTGGTTTAGAGTAGAAAAGCACTTTGTAACACAGGTAGTAGGTATTGGGGAATAATTGTAAACATATAATACATAATATATCATATAAAAGACAGCAGCAGCCCTGGGTGGGGGGAGGTAGAAGAGGACACACACAGAGAGGATGTCAGGGTGTGTGTGTGCCTCTGCCTGGGCCGCTGATCAAACAGCTGCAGCCTGAGAAGAAAATCTTTTAGATAACTTGCAATAAACTGCCTTGAGACCAAACAACAAGAAGCTGCAGAGTTTTTCTTTAAAAGCACAAGTTAGAAGAGAAACTTCACCACCACACGAGACCCCAGACCAAGCCCGGGGTTCTCACACCGGAACGCTGACACCAACAGCTCAACTCAACCTTGGCACCCAGTGCCACGTCCAGGCTTTGTTAAACACACCCAGGGATGGGGACTCCACCACCTCCCTGGGCAGAACATTCCAGAACTTGATCATTCATCTGTAAAAAACTTTTTCCTAATATCCAACCTTTATTTCCTCTGGCACATCTTGAGACTTTGTACGAAAGGGCGCAACATGGAATTGTCTAGGTTGGAAAAGCCCTCTAAAGATCGAGCTCTCAGCACTGCCAATCCCACCACTAACCCGTGTCCCCAAATGCCACATCCACACATTTTTGGAACCCTTCCAGGGATGACATTTGCTGCCTTTGCAAAGCCTCTGTGGCACCCAACCCAGTCTTGGTTGAACCTGCTGCTTTTCCAGCTGCTGTGCCAGAACCACAGCGCATTTCATGGTGTGGGACATAGTAAAAGTAAGAAGATTTTTATAAAGTTAGGAGAGGAGGTTTCAGAAACAGGAAGAATAGAGAAATTAGAATTAGTTGTAGTTTTAACATTTGAAGGTAGGAGAAGGTTACAATAGTATAGTAAATAGCAAATAAAGTGAATAAGGACATGAAACAATCGCTTGAGTTTTAAGTTTCGTTAAGATAGACTTCAAAACTGTAGAAAAATAGGTTTAGTAGAAGATTTTAAGCTTAAAAATGGTGTACTGTGTATTGTTAATAGAAGGCATATAAGTAAGTATTGTGTGAAGTTACATGTACCTTTAGTGATTGGTTAGAACAATTGTAAGCTTCAGCAATATGCTGTTGGCTGGAAAGTTTTTAAAATGTTCTGTAACAAAGAAATCTGCTGCTGGCAGGACGTGAGCTTTTGTTATCTTTCTGTTGTCTCAACTGTGTAATGCTGAGACGATGAGGCTGATGTTGTAATAAAATTCCAAGGAACGTCTCTTTCTGGTTGTGAAAGAGGAAAAACTTCCCCAACACCAATGGTGCCTCGTGAGGAAAAATAGTCATTTCAGAATCTTTCACAGACCATTCAGTCATCAGTGTCAGGAACCCCAGATTAAGAAAATTAAAAGAGGGAAATGGGAAGAGGGCTGCGCTCTGCTGCTCAAACCCTTCTCCAGCCACCAAAAAAAGATGGGAGAGATGAGATGAAATGAGAAACCCCCATGGAAACAATGCACGGGCTGAGCTGAACCTCCAGCCAGGAGCTGGGCTGGAGCATTTTGGCAGCATTCCCCAGGAGATGCTCTGTGGGGCAATGCTGAGCTCCAGGATGGTTTGGATGGATGGAGATGAGAGATCTCTGAAGGCTGCTCCTAGAATATCAGCTTTATTAGAGATGGAGCAGCTTGGAGCTGCCAGACGCAGCACGTGGCAAGGCTTGAGGGGATGGGGGACGTTGGGAAGGATGGATAAATATAATTATCCATAAATAACACAGCCAGGATGAGAACAGCCCTCCCTGCTAGCCAGACAACGCCCCTGCCTACGGATGGGTCCAGGGGTCGAGTGAACTGTTCCATCTCACCCCCAAAATGTACAGTTCACCCCACACCTGTGACCCTCCCCTAAAACATCAAGTGCTGTGACCCCATTGGCCCCAGCCTTGTTCCAGCCCACCTTGAAGCCCCTGATAAGGGGCTCTGAGGGGTCGGACAGCCTCTTGGAACTTCTCCTCCTCTCTTGGAACTTCTCCTCCTCTTGGATCTTCCCCCTCACAGGACCTCCACCCTTTCCTAGAGCATCCTCTTGTCTCTCCCCTCCCCATCCTCTCAAGCCTGGCCACGTGCTGGGTCTGGCAGCTCGAGGCAGGACCTTTCTCCATCCCCAATAAACCTGATACCCCAAGAGCAGCCTCCAGAGATCTCTGTCTCCATTCACCCAAACCGTCCAGAAACTGTCCCAGCGATCGCTACAGAGGGAGGGGAGAGACAAGGGGCAGAGAGGATGCTCCAGGAGAGGGTGGAGTTCCAAGGGGGTGGGGGTTCCAAGAGAGTGTCCAGCCCCTCAGAGACCCCTTATCAGGGGGCTTCAAGGTGGGCTGGAACAAGACTTGGGCCAATGGGGTCAGACACCTGATGTTTTAGGGTAGGGTTACAGGTGTGGGATGAACTGTACATTTTGGGGGGTGAGATAGAACAGTCCATTTGACTTTTGGACCTATCTGTAGGTAAGGGCATTGTCCAACCAGCAGGGGGGATTGTTTTCATCCTGGCTGTACTATGGCAAATCTTTTGCCAGGCAATTACATTCATTCATCCTTCCCAGCGATGCTCCTTCCAGCCCAGCACGAGCTCTGTGCAGCACACTGTTCAATCCATGCCCTGTGCACCCTCCAGCCTGCTCGGGGCTGCCAGCAGCCCTGGGCTACTTGCCCACTGACTGGAACCTCTTCCTGTGCTGAAAACCTCGCTGAATGCAAGCAAGAAATGTCACTGAGGGCTGGGCTGGCCCGGCACAGGGCGGGGGGACACAGGAAGGAACCTGGGGATGTGGCACCCGGCGTCTGCGGGGTCTCCGCTGCCATAAATGCTGGTCCTGTGGAGCTGAGTTTCATTTTCTCTTCTCTTTCTTTAAAGGCAGTGAAGGGCCGAGAGGAGCAGAGCTTCCCTTCGAGGCACAGAGTAGCAGAGAGATCGGCTTCTGGTAAAAAACAGCCCCTCCTCGTGCTCCCCTCCTCATCCTCACACCCGGCTGGCCCTGGCAGGACTCGTTCGCCAAGCACAGGCACCAGTGCCAGGGTGATTCTGTCTGTAAATCCCATAGATTTATGTGGGATCTCATATAAATCCCATAAAACACCAGAATGGAATGGAATGGAATGGAATGGAATGGAATGGAATAGAATGTAATGGAATGGAATGGAATGGAATGGAATGGAATGGAATGGAATGGAATAGAATAGAATAGAATAGAATAGAATAGAATAGAATAGAATATATATGTAACAGAATAGATATGAAACATAATATAATATATTTATATATATAATATATAATATATAATATATAATATATAATATATAATATATAATATATTATGATATATGATATATATAGTATATAGTATATAGTATATAATATAGTATAATATAATATACATATATATATTATATGTAATATAATATGGCTGTAATATCTAATAATATATACTAATATATATTATTCTGTTATCTATTATATAATATATCATGTTTATAATATTATATATAGTCAATTATAGTATATACTATATACTATATAATATATAATACTATAGAATACGGAATATGGAATACGGAATATGGAATATGGAATATAATATGTTTATATAGGTGTATATATAATATAGAATATATATAGTATAATTATAATATAGAATATGGAATATGGAATATATAATATGGAATATATAATATATATTTATATATGTGTATACATATTTAGTGTGTATATATACACATACATATATAAAGTGCCATGAAAACCCGTTTTTGAGCTGGTAAGCAGCCCCAGTCAGGCAGGAGCACTGCTGGGACGCCCTTGCTGCTGCCGGAGCTGGGTGCTGGGGTTCTGCTGCCTCTGCCAGAGCTCACTGCTGGCAGAAGGTGCTGGAAAAACATCCGGGATCCAGCCTGGAGTGACCTTAATGAGCATCCCCCGCCACCCAGCAACAGGAAGCTCCAGCATCCTGTTTAGCATCTCAAAGTGCAAATTGGCAGCAGGGACAAAGGCAGGGAGGCCAAGGGACCCTGGACACACACTGGGCACCGGCAGGGGCTGGAGGATGGGCAGGGAATGAGTCTGGCACAGAAATCCTGGGTTTTGTTGCTGTCACAGCCTTTCAGGGAGCAGCAAACACCAAAGCACAGCTCAGCTGTAGGCTGCAGCCTGAGCTCTGGACAGCCCCAGTGCCAGCTAAGTGGCATCCCTGCTCTGGGGACAACCCTGGCACGGTGTCCCTGCCCCGGGGTGGCATCTGCCACCCTCACCCTGTCATTTGGATGGCTCTGACACTCCACACGTGCCACCCCAGCCCGTCCCAGCAGCTGATCCTGGTGTGTTCCTGCCCGCAGCCCGTCCCGGGAGCCCTCCTGGCCTGCCCATGGCTAGCAACAACACTGCTAGCATAGCACAGGCACGCAAGCTGGTGGAGCAGCTGAAGATGGAGGCCAACATCGACAGGATAAAGGTAGGGATTCTTGGGAGATGCCTCTGGGAGTGCTGGGAGGTGGTGGCTGCTGCCCAAAGCACGTGGAGGGAGCTGGGATGTGGAACCAGGTGAGGATGCTCTTGTTTTAAGTGATCCTGACAGCCCTGGCTGAAGGCAGTGGGAGATGGCATCATAGAATCTGGGAATGCTTTGGGTTGGAGGAGACCTTAAAGCCCTTTTTGTTCCAACCCCCTGCTAGGGACACCTTCTGCTATCCCAGATTGCTCCAAACCCTGGTGAGAGGCAGCTGGAAGCATCACCTGGAGCCCTGTGGGGTGGTGGGAAGGAGGGACTGTCCCCAAGGCATCTCAGATCCTTGCTAAGAGCTGAAATCCAGGGAGAGGAGTGCTGCAGGGCTGGGGGATGAACTCTGGTGCCTTGGGAGCTGAAATCCAGGGAGAGAAGTGCTGCAGGGCTGGGATGAGCTCCAGTGGCTTGGGAGCTGAAATCCAGGGAGAGAAGTGCTGCAGGGTTGGGATGAGCTCTGGTGGCTTGGGAGCTGAAATCCAGGG